GTAGCTTCACTACGTTCTGACAGGTCAGAAGGTAAGAGCGCACTGGGCAACCCTTTTCCTCTCCTTTTTTTTTTTCCTTATTTTGTTTGGCTTTTTCTATTCAGTTACATTATTTTGCCTCCAAATAAAAGGAAAACCCATATAGGGGAGGTAATACATTATTCGCTGTGTCAGCTGGCCATAAGACATGAAATAACAGCAAAGAAAGTTTAGGCTAGACACCAGGGAGACTTTCTAGCGGTGATGACAGGGAGGTGGCGGAGGCAGCGGTGGGAGGACAAAGCAGGGTCTCCACCGCTGAAACAGGGCAGGGAGGGTGGAGAAGAGGTGAGTCCATCTTCAGAGAAGGGTTTGGACCAGGTCACCACTGTCCCACATGTGGTTCGGGGACCGCCAATGGGTCTCCTACCGGAAGAGCAGAAGGTGACCTCGAAGGGATCATAAGCAGTTGAAAAGCAGAGCAAGAACTAAGCATACACATTCACATACATGGAAGAAAACTGATAAATGCAGTAACCATGTTGATGCAATAACGGCTGAGATGGTTGAAGGGAACGGGGAAACCAACGGGAATGACAATTTACCATACATTTCTGGGTAATTTTAGGTAGGTGTCACAAGAGGGTCGTCTCAGTTGTTTTTTTTTTAACCTCCTTTTTCCGTTAGCTAATAAAAGCTATTTCCTCTCCCCATCCTGCTTGCCTCATTAATTAAGACATAAACATTTAAAGTGTAGCCTGATTTTTACTGGGCTTTAAATAAAATTGCAGCAACGCCAACCAGACAAACCATTAATTTCAGGGTTGCTTTTTTTGTTGTTTTACTTTGTTTTACAAGACAGCTGGGCCTCTGGCAGCACAGGTTTGACTCATCTCTTGCAATCACTTCCAGTTCATTTTTTTAATGTGCTTGAAGACCTGGTGTCAGCTGGGGATAGGAGCTGGGAGAGATAACCTCCAGCTGGACATGGCCCTGCTGGGACATGCGGCAAAGACTGGCCTTGGCCAGACTCCTTTCCCTGGAGGATCTTTGAATTGCCTGCCCCCAGCAAGGCTAGCCTGTCTTTACCATCACTTCAATGTTATCAGTTCAGCACTGGTGTGTATTTAATGTGAGTAGGATCCGTCTCTCCTAGCTCTGGAACCTGGAGATGCTATAGGTATCCGCACCTGAGCTAATCTTCCTGGAGAAAGGGTACAGCGAGGGCACAATCCGTCCCATCCCTGAAACACGTGAATTGTGCTCTCAATATCCCTGCTCTTCCTCCAGAAAGAGGGAGACAACTTTGCACGGCTTTCTTTCAAGCTGGCGGAAAATGAGGCCGCACTCTGAAAGCTTGTGTACCGCTGAATGAGGCAAGTGTGCAAGGAAAGGAAATAGCTTTTAATAGACCGAGTCCATTTACGCAGCAGAGGGTACAAACGAAAGCGTGAGTTAATACACCCGCCTGAGTCGGCAGAGCGGACGCCGGTTGCTCAGGGTGGATGCCGGCGCCGGCGGGGGGGACTCACTTGATCCATGTTGCTCAAATAGGTCAATCACCATCAGCATCTAGCCTCGATCTCTCCCGGCTGCGGCTTTTGTCAATCTGGGCTATATGCAAATTTTTGATCGAAATATTTTAAGCTGCGGTCTTTTGCACTGCAAAATTGCCTTTCCTTTTCAAGGCTCGGGCTTAGCGTGTAATTACCGAGCGACAAACACTACCACGTGCTTGCTGGCTTTATGTCTCTTTCTTTTATTCAAAAAGCCCCATTCACACCACTATACGGAGCTACTCTTGCCTGAAATTTCGAGTCCTAGGATGAACTCTATCCCCAGCTAGAGGATGAAAAAGAGGGAGGAAAGAGCTGTAACATGTCAAAAGGGGGAAGGAGCTGTACTTCCTCCCAGCTCAAAACCAGCCGATTGGCAAGGGTCCATGCACTAGCAGATCTGTGTGCATTCACTTCGGCGCTTCGGTTCCTCCGTGCGGACCTGCACCGACCCTTTTATTTTGGTTTAAGTGCACTAGTATAAACCTGTTCCTCATTAGCTGAAATTAACTGCAATAGCCCTGGTTTAGACTGAAGCAAGGAAATAGATGGAAAGCAATGGGGTAACTGTACCGTAACGAGCTGATGCTCGTTAGCTGAGCCGCAGTAACCGAGCGGGACACACTGCCCCGGCTGGCAGGTAAAATACACAAGAGCATCCCACGCTCATGCACCGCAAGCAGGGCCCCTCCATCCCTCTCCTGCCCAGCAAGAAAATGCCCTGCCTCAGAAATAAAGCTCCTCAGCTTGGACCAGGGATAAAATTTCCTCCAAAGATGGCAGTTTTACATCAGGATTGATCCTGAGTGGCTTAGCTTTTCTCTTCCTCAGAGTGATGGGGTTTCGTCTGGCTTTTCCTGTGCCCCATCCAAGCCCTGCGGTCCAAGGCATCTCAGCATCGTGGGCAAAGTGACTTTGGCTGCCCGAGAGCGGAGAGGAGGGGAGGACAAGACACGGGGCCGATGCCCTCTTGACCCTAACATCGTTTGATACGTCATTTAGGAGAAGCCTTTCCTTTCCAATCAAAAAGGTGGTTTGAATCCTGCTTTACGAGAGAAGTTCAACTCAGCCTTAATTTTGGAGCAAGGCACATGTTTTCCTTATCTCTGTGTGTCACTGGGCAGATTAGACAAGATATATTTATCTAGACAGCTATCTGTGTAGCTGCAAAGAGACAGCTACAAAATTCCATGGATTGAGATCATCCCATGCTGAGTTTAGCATCCCAGTGCGAAACAATACTTCATTTTGCTGGCTGACATGTTTTCATCGAAACATAGGGAAGATGAGTAATTCGACCTCAAAAGTTGGGTGTTTGGTGTTTTTTTTTTTAATTCACTGTAAAAAATATATTTTAAAAAAAAAAGCAAACAACAAAACTGGCCTTCTGAACATTTTCCTCGTACAGTATTTGTTCCTGTTTGCTTGTGTTTCCTAGTTGTTCTACATTTCTTCTTCCCAGCAGGGTCAAAAATCCAACTCTAGGAAGGAGGGTGAACCCCTAAGGGACAAAAAAAGTGCATGAAAGAAATAAGAAAGAAAGAAGATCAAAATGTGTCATTTCCTGACATGATTGTCAAGGAAAATAAGGAAATAAACATAAAGTTTTTCTTTTTTTTTTTTTTTTGACCACTCACATCACCAAGCGAATTAACAGACTTGGTCCTGCTCTATCAGAGCAACAGTTAAAACACCTTGCTGTCCACTTGGACTGCTTTTTAGAGCAATTTTTTCAAGACAGAAAAGTTGAAAAATCACGGATAAACACACTCCAAAGAAATATTTCCTGTGTATGGCAGGAAGGAGCCAAAGAAAAACCCCTGTTCAACACCAGGGTCAGTCCCCATTGCAATGTGTGGAGGCAGGAGGGTAGGGTCACTGGGAGAAAACCAGTGTAAACAGGATCTGCTGTTATCAGTGGGAAAAGGTCCTGTTTAAATTAGCTAGAAATATGCGCCTATATGTTTTAATCACAAGTTTCGGAGTCTTGCAGCAGGGCTAAGTCGTAGCAGCGAACTAGAGGATCACAGGCTGTCCCTGAACACAAGGCACTGGTCTTTCCTTCTGCTTTTACAAGGGACTTGTACTAGGGACAAGGGGCAGGCCACGTCTGCAGCCCCGTCTGGTGCTACCTGGGTACAGGTTGGGCTGGAGTCCTCGGCTTAGGCGGCAGGGCAGGACTCGCAGGGCTGGCCTGGGAAGGATGGTGCCCCTGCACGCTGGCTGAGAAAGGAGGCTCAGCCTCGCAGGGTGTGGGACACTGGACGTGGGTGGGGAGTTTCCTAGCCTTGCAGGGCATCTTTCTTGGTGGGACACTGGTGTGAGGGGGGAACTTGCCAGCCTTGTAGAGCATCCCTCCTGGTGGGATGCCGGACCTGGGCGGAAGGATGGGGGGAGTTTTCCAGCCTGACGCAGTGGGAGCTTGTCAGCGTTGTAGAGCCTCTCTCCTGGTGGGAAGATGGACCTTGGGGGGAGTTTCCCAGCCTTGCAGGACACCTCTCGTGGTGAGCTAGCGGGACATAGGGGGAACTTGCCAGCCTTGGAGAACATCCCTCCAGGTGGCATGCTGGACCTGGGGGGCGAGGAGGGGGCGG